TCAGTGGCTGATCTCTTGGAAGTAGATTGCCAGGTCTTTCTTCCAAGGCAACTCAGGCTGGACTCGAACCTCCAACCTTTTGATTAGCAGCCAACGGGGTCAATTGTTTGTACCACCCAAGCACTCCCCAATGTAGACAGTGGCAGAATAACTTGTAATTGATTCAATTTGTATCACTTTGAACTGGCACATGCTTTCGTTACTCAGTTGGAGAAGTTGTAGCACCTCAGCTACTATCAACCAAGACTGTCATTAAAATCATTATCATCATCATTGGGTAGCTATCTAAGCATTAATGACTGTCAGACCTCTAGTAACACCAATGCAAAGAAAAGCAGCGTCCACCTTATTCAACTGGTAAACACTTAAGCTGGGATTCACTAAAAGGCAATTACAGAAATTATGCTCTGACCTTTGTTACTCAGAGCATGGTCTACAATCAGCATCATGGACATGACCTGGAGCTTGTTAAAATGCTGAATTTCAGGCCCCCTGCAGACCTACTGAATCGGACTCTGCTTTTTAAAGGATCTCCAGGTGATCTGTATATACAATAAATTCTGAGCAGTACTCCTCTAGAATAATGCTATTTAAAGTCTGGTCCATGGATCAGCAGCATCAACATTACCTGGGAGCTAGTTAATAACACAGTTTCTTGAGCCCCCAACCTACAGAATCAGAATGTCTGGAAGTGAGGCTGACTGTGTTTTAGTAAGCTCTTAAGGTGATTCTTATATATCCTAACATTTCAGAATCTGTACTCTAGAAACCTGTTACTCAGGCTGTCAATGAACCAGGCCTTTTCAATTATCCTTTGGCCCTCTACAGCCTGCCCTTTGGCTATCTAATTGCTAATTAATCTGGAATCGGTGGGAAAAAGAGGGGAAACAAATCAACCTATTTTGCTTCCCAAACAGATTTATGGTAAAGGTTTTGGAGGTGACCACATAATTAGAGTGAGATATTTAGGATTATCGATAGATTACAGTACTCCATGAAACATATTTCGTCCATTACCAGGGTTAATTAGGAGTAGACTATAAAAGTGTTCTTCTAGAAAGGCTATTAAAAAACATAATGTAACGTTGTCATGTAGAGTAAAGAATGACACATATCATGACTCAAGGAAATAAAGACCATTAATTCCCTGTGGGAGCCCTAGTGGCCCAGCGGTTAAGAAATAGGCTACTAACCAAAAGGTGGCAGTTCAAATCCACCAGCTGCTCCTTGGAAACCCCATGCGGGCAGTTCTACTCTATCCTATAGGGTTGCTACGAGTCAGAATTGACTCAATGGCAATGTTCGTTTGTTTTTTTTTGGGGGGGGGGTTAATTCCCTGTGAGTTCTAAGTATGAAGCAAGCCCAAACCCTTTTTAGAATGCTAGAGAACCCCTTGCAACTTTTCCTTAATTCTGTAGAACTCAGCAGTGTCAAGAGGCATGACCACAAGGCAGAAAAATTATTTTAGTCCTATTCTACTGTGATTAATCTGTACCTTAGTCCTTAAACAGTTTCTTTTATAGTGTGAAGAAAAAAAGGAAAGGTCACAAAGAACAGCCGTTTAAAATTCTAAAACTCTGTTGCTGTTGTTGTTAGTGACCTCTGAGTCAATTCTGACTCGTGGTGACCCCGTGTGTGTCAGAGCAGAACTGCACTTCATAGGGTTTTAAGTCTGTGACCTTTCGGAAGCAGATTGACAAGGCTTTCTTCCCAGGTGCCTCTGGCTGTGTTCAAACCATCAACCCTTAGTAATCAAGTGCTTAACTGTTAGTACCACCCAGGGGCCCCTGTGAAACTATAGATTGTCCTATATTTTTGTTTGGATCATCTGTAAGATGGATAACATTTTGTTTCAGGAAATTGTACTCTGTTTGAAAAGAAGTCTACGTGCCAAAAGAACATGCTGCTCATATAAATAACAACGATGTAATTTTAACATTTTCACAAAAGCTATAAATGTTCCACCTCAAGGTAAACATTTTAATTAGCCTGAAAAGTTATTTTTCTTAACACTAGCAACTCCTTTGCCCACCAACCCCTCCTCAGATCTGCTAAAATGTGTCTCATGCAAGAGTAAGGACTGAAGTAGCAGCTCATGTAAAGCGTGACTGATGAAGGTACCAGGCAGAAACTATAGAGGCAAAAAAGAAAAAAAAATTGTCCTTGGAAGTGGGAGCACTTCTGCAGAACAATTAACTTAATTAACCAGATATCATGAATATTCATAAGGCTGTTAATGTCTCCCACATCCAAACAGATAAATGTGATGTAATGACTTCCTAGTCAAGCATATCTAAAATTCTCATGAAAGCTGCACCTACAGTTTGGTTCTTTGCCTGAAATACCATAGAAATTAACAGTCCCTCGGCAATATTTTATTCTTCTCAAATTAATTGGAAAGCATGAATTTATTTATTCCAACTCTATAGGAATATATGGTTCACAACCATCAGTATGTGGATTGAGCCTTGTTTTACAACAACTGGATTGCTTTTTTATTTTTATGTCCGCTCAGGCTTTTTTCTCTATTCTCCCTCCCCATCCCCCCTTAATCGGAATCTCTCTGTATATAGTTCCTTAGCACCAGTTCCCATAGCAACCAACACCATTGCTAATGGCCAGCAGTTCAAATACAGTCTTCCCTACATCTGATTCATTTGAGTCTGACCATAATTCAGCAGCTTAGTCTGTTGGCTCAGTAGAGCAATTTACTAAACACTCTCCCTCTGGGTGTCTCTCTCCAGGAGGCAAATGGCTTCAAAGGCAGACTGTCTCCTTGCGTTCAGAAGCTCCAAAACTTACTCCCATTCTCTGTCTATCAAAGTCCTGACTAGGCATAGAGTCCTCCTAGTAAATACTTCCTGTACATGATTTCCTCCTCTTAGTGGATAGAACCAGTAAACTGGAACTCATACACAACTATTAGAGTTTAGGCACTATGCTATATATTCTAAACAAAACGCCTTAAAATGCCACTATGTATACAGAATGCTTTCAAAATCAGAAGCATGCTTAAAAATAATAACCACCAGACTTTGCAGCCAAATCAAGCGCATACCTGTAAGGGCACCCATCTTTTCACTTTGGATGCATAACAGGTAATGAATAATCTAATGAAGAGACATAGTGACCTACACACATTTAATTTCCATGTAGGGAAATGTTGGAAAGTTTCCACTCTCACAGTCGGCTACTAAAACGACAAGAAAAGGTCAAAGTGCTGGCCCAAAATGCATCTTTCTCTCATTTTTTGTTTTTTGTTTTTTTTGAGTTGATTCTGTTGTCTTCTACTAGAGGTTATTATAGGTTTTTCCATATGTTTTAAAATTATCAAGATATATCCTCCTATCTTTCTCCTTTCGTGTTCATGCTTTTATGAAAGGCTTTATACTCTAAATCCTCATTTGGATATCTTTACACTCTAAAAACACATTGGTTCTTTGTCAGTTTAATAACAATACTAAATACATTGAAGTCCATACTAGATGAACGTGGTTATCAAATGGATTGAATGTTGATTTTTTTCAACCATGTGCATTATTTTCTCTTTTCATAGGAAACATTTTTCTGCTTTTCTTTAGAGATAATATGTGTGATGTTTTAAAAATGGAAAAAAACACCAATTTCCATCACTATTGTTTATTTAAATAATACTTCGGAATGAGTGGGTTGTATAACATAATAAACTTGAGGAAAATGTGTTCTTCATTTCTAGATCACAGTGTTGCTCTAACTGTTCTCCCTGCTCTGATCTCCAGTTTCTCCTGCCTGCTTTCCCTAACCATCGTGCACCATTCAGCCAAATGGCAGTGATCAAATGGTGGTGAGAACCTCCTAGAACAAGCTCCTGTCAAGTCCCTCCTAGCTCTAAAACCTCCCACTGTTCCTTAAATCAAAATTTGCTTAACAAATACAATTCAGACCCCTAACTGTGGCATCAAGGAATTTCCAAGGTTTGGGGCTATTTTGACACTATTATCTGCCCTGGGATGGCCAGTTTTCTATTCCTCAAGCACTCCTGGGTTTTCTTGCCTTTGTTTTGTTATTTTTACAGCCAAGAAAGTAACTCATTTTCATAACAACTAAAAAAAAAAACCAAACCCATTGCTGTCAAGTCAATTTTGATTCATACCGATCATAGCGACCTTGAGCCCTGGTGGCGCAGTGGTTAAGAGTGCGGCTGTTAACCAAAAGGTAGGCAGTTCGAATCCACCAGTCACTCCTTGGAAACCCTGTGGGGCAGTTCTACTCTGTCCTATAAGGTCACTATGCGTTTTTCAAACCAAAAAAAAAACCAAACCTGTTGCTGTCAAGTAGATTCCAACTCATAGCAATCCTACAGGACAGAGTAGAACTGCCGTATAGGGTTTCCAAGGCACAGCTGGTGGATTCAAACTGCCAAACTTTTGGTTAGCAGCCCAGCTCTTAACCACTGCACCACCAGGGCTCCTTTTTCAGATCAGATCCTAATTCAAGCATTACTTATTCTATAAAGTCTTCTTTATATTAATTAACGTATTTAATTAACTTAATAAACTTTATTGAGCATTCACTATGTGTTATGTTCTATTCTAGGTACTGGAGACACAGCAGTGAATAAAAAGAAAAAAAATTCTTGCCCCTAGGAAACTCATCCTCTAGCACTCTGATCCTGCTTCCAGTTGGAATTAATACTTTGTGTAAAATAATAATAATCCCATGCATTAACTGTTTAACTACGGGTTAAACCCTTCACACATACCATCTAATTTAATACTATAACAACCTTGTAATGAAGTGAATAAGTATTATCCCTATTTTGCAATTGGAAAAACGAGGTTCAAAGAGACGAAACAACTTGTCCAAAGTCTCATACTTGTTAGTGGAGAAGCCAGAAATTAAGCCTGGATCTTTCAGAGTTTGTGCTTTTAACTCCATGTTACACTGTCTAGGTTAAAAAGCAAGAAAGAGAAAGCCGGGAGGGGAGGTTCAGATTAATATATCTGCGGCCACGGCCTTGCCTGCTGGTATTACACCGAGAGGAAGCTGTGCTCTGACAGGGGTCAGGAGGCAGTCTGTTTCCACCCCAGCATTCTTCTGGGCTCTAAGAAGCAAAGCATGGGCTACTTCACTGGCAGATCCATCTCCTCCAACACAGACGACCCTAGAAGAAAAGAAATTAAGCAAAAGGATGGAAAAATCTCAAAATAATTGGTAATAACGCATGAAATCTAGGCTTCAAATTTTTTCTATTAATTTTATATATTAATGATTACTCAGATTCTCAAACATTTTAGTGTGTATCCATGAATAGGAACACACTGCTAGCATGACTCTATGGCACACACACACACACACACACACGCACACACACAGCACTACATGGGGAAATTTTACTTCACAAATAGAATATCTAGATAACCCACATATACAAAATATTTTAAAATGGATTAATGTGTTGTCATTGTTAGGTGCCAGACCGCTTAAAATTATTTAGTCCCATCAATCCAAAAATGGGTTAATAATTTGAACACATTAACTCAGATCTGACCTGTATTTTGCTCCAATAATGTCCAAAAACACATCATTCTCATTTTGATCATGTTAATATCCTGTCATCTGCAATCCATTTGACTAACACAAACCAAAGTCATAAAATCCTGGGAATTCTCAAGTTAAAAGACATCATAAAAATTATGTAAAATATGGAGCTTTAATTTAAGGTACTGCTAATCATCATTAGTATATGAACATAGTAATTGCACCCCTGAACTGTTTTCATCTCCTTGACAGTATGCTAAGTGACACTTAAAATTAGTGTTACCACCCTTTTACCCTAGTTAGTACTGCTAATGTTTTCTAAGACCTCATGGCAAGTAGACTATAGAGAGAAAGAAAAAAAAATCCATGAAAAAGTAGTACATAAGGTATTAGTAATTTGTTTCATAAGCATTTGCATTTAAAAGATGCAAAATAATCCTAAGTATCAAAATGTCACCAATTTACCCAAAAGGCAGGAGATTTTATGTGACTGAAAGCAGGTGTCTCAAACTCAAGGCCTACAACGGCCCAGCAGGAATGCAAGTGTATGCACAGTCTAAAGTCGGCGTAGTTCCTCAGCTTGGCTCATTCACCTTATGGGGGAGGAAGGCTAGCAGAACTAGATCTCCTACATACCACAAGAAAAGGTTTTTTGTTTTTGTTTTTTTTTAAAAAAAAAATCTTTTATAGTGAGCAAATTTAACCACACTTGGTTTTTTAAGAGTTACTCAAAAACATAAATAATATTAGAGTAATCATTTATGTGAGTACTTCTTGTTTTTGTTTTGTTTTTCAGATTCTGCCTCAAGCAGAATGAATCTGTCTAGAAAAGTACAACTAGAGGTTTTAATATTTTACTTCCTTTTTCAAAGAACTATCAGAAAGATACATTTCTAAACTAGGTGTTTATATATTTGCCAGTCGACCAATGTTGTTACTTGCCATGGAGTCATTCTGACTCATGGTGACCCCATGCATGCAGAGTAGAACTTTGTTCCATAGGGTTTTCAAGGCTGTGACCTTTCAGATGCAGATCGCCAGGACTGTCTTCCAAAGTGCCTCTGGGTGGGTTCAAACCACCAACCTTTCAGCTAGTAGTCGAGTGTTAAACCATTTGAGCCACCCATGGACATCTTTGAAATGATGACTATATTTGACTTTTTATTTAGACTTTTTCATTATTAATTAATGAAAAGAAATAACTTTTTTTACCTTAGTAATAAAGATATCATAGTCAATTTATAAAATGTCAGTATTAGCCAACTATGTCTAGATTATTATGGGTCTAGTTAATGGTGGGAGCCTTGGTTCTAATCCACCAGCCACTCCCTGGAAACACTATGAGACAGTTCTACTCCCTGCTATAGGGCCACTATGAGTCGGAATCGACTCGATACCAATTTTTAAGTTAATTGTGAGATGAATAAAACAAGAAAAAATAGTATAATGTAACAAATTATCCCATTGAAACAAAGTATTAGAATGTTTATAACTGCAGAAAAGCCACAGATTAAGTTTAACTACATTCAAATTTATAAATTCAACAGTTACTGCTTCAAGTATATGGATTGGGTATTACTCTTTTTTTGCATACAAACATCCTATTCATGTCCACTATAAGTAGATGGCAATATGCAATCTGAAGCTCCTACAAGTTTTACCAGTGGATCTGTGAGTGTTTGCTAGAACACCCTAGAGTGGTACACCAGCTATCATGAGTACTGATACACTATTCCTCTTGGCTTTAGAAACATGTCACAGTGTATCTTCATAGAAACTATATAACTAATTTAAAATACTCCAACGTCTTGGCAAATAGCACTTCTTAAACATTATTTACCCTATCATTCTGTTTTAGTGAATTATACACACAGATTCTTTCTTTGATCTTAAGCCCTTGGTCTGGTCTGTGTCTAGGAACCTTTAGATGATTTCCTAACACTCCCTATCAATAGCTTCTAAAGTCAGGCAGAGATGCTTCAGGCTAAAGTTCTCATAGGAGTGTGAGCTTCTTTCTTACTAGAGTATCTTAGACCCTTGAGGGTTACCTGACCCCATCCTTGGATCGTTTCTATAAATTTCTCAAAATACGTTCCTGTAGCCTCTCTTTGTATAGGTTCAGAGACAGGGACCTCACCAACGTAGAATATTCCATTTTTGACAATTGGACTTGTTAGAGAATGGTTCTTTTGAAATGCCTTAAGAAACTATCTTTCCATTGTTCTCCTCACATACTTCTCTATGTAATTCTGAACAGTGTCATACAAAATTACCACTTTAATATAATAATCATCCTTACTGCCATATCAGCTCCTACGGGAAAACTGAGCCCACAAAAAGAAGTCAGTGTTTAAAGGATCTTAGAATATAGGTAACTTTCATTAGAAATTTAAAGTATTATAAGCCCTAAATATATCAGTGTGCTTTAGGGTAAGAAACAGTTAAATTAAGGGAACTCAATTCAAATAATAGTTAGGCCAAACTATTTGGTTAAAAAAAAAGTGGTTAATAACTAACAAATCTACATATATTTTACCATCACACTGCAAAATAATAACATCTCCCAGGTAAAGCAGAATTCTTCTTAGTATTGTGCTTACAAAGATACGCTCAGGTAAAGAGAAAAATATTACCATACTGCGCGTGAGCAATATCCTTTCCTTAGTCTGCAAAGTGCTTAATCCTTGTCATACTTCTATAATTACCAACAGAACGTATTTATAGAAACCACATTCAGCAGAACATTTCACAACGCTGGTGGACAACATCAAGTCTGACACCTGTGGTATCCATTAATACCATCATTTATATAATCATGTTTTGAGGCAAGGACTCATTTGCAATGCAGGCACCCTCCAACACTCACCAGCTGGTTGGGGCTAGGCAGTGTACTGAGGTCAGCAGCTAGTGGCATGCTTCCCCCAATTACTTTTCTTAAATGTTATAGTGTGTGATAATGTCCTAAACGTAGCCTGTTATTCCTTCTGTCTACCTCTAAGTATAAGTCTCTGAGGTAATCTCCTACCCCATACTCCTCATCCTTAATATTTATCTAATATTGCCATCCAGATTTACTCCTTCTGATTAAATTCCTTTTTGAAAAATCATGTTTTACTTACCAAGCTTTCTTCTTCACCAACCCCAATTCTTTCTTATAAAAAAAATTAAGCATTTTTGGAAAACAGCCCTGATAATGCTCCATTTTGCTTGCATCACTTCCCTCCCTGAAACATTCTATCAGCTCATATGGAAGATTAAAGCCTTTCACTCTGGCTGAAAGAACCAAATGCCCTTCCTAACGTTTGGGCCTTTTGTTGTCCCATCCCCATCACCACAGGACACAGGTAATTCCCATACTTGCTAATTTTTAAAACCCTCAAATATCCACTGTTACAAAATTCTTCCCCAAAGAAATAGTCTTTTACATCACCTCATTTTAAAAAATGATTCACTTAATTTTAAAAAATGACTATTAAAGTAAATATCACTTGTCTTGTTTCTAATATTTGCACACCAGTAAGCAATCTCTAAGGATCTCTGGTGACACAGTGGTTAAAGCGCTCGGCTGCTAGCTAACCAAAAGGTCGGCGGTTCAACTCACCAACTGAAACCATGAGCCGCTCCGCGGGGGAAAGACTTGGCAGTCTGCTTCTGTGAAGATTTACAGCCTTGAAAATCCTACGGGGAAGTTCTACTCTGTCCTACTGGGTTGCTATGAGTTGAAATCAACTCCACGGCAACTGGTTTGGTTTTAGTTTTAGCGCAATCTCTGCACACTCCCACAATGCATTGCAAAAAATGGTTTTCAATGCCTCCTATGAATAACTCACCTACTTGGTAGTCACTAAATTATGAGATCATTAAAATTAGCCTCTTTTATCCATTCTGTAAAAAATGTATTTGTTTTTATAAAACATTTACCCCCAGATCAATCACAGTCAAATTAGCCTATGGATAGCTATTAAAACTATCAATAAATTTGCAAATAAAGATCGTAACATAGTTACATCATATAATCAAAATAATATCTTCCATCGATACTTTTCAAGATACTCACTTGGTTAAAGCCAAGAATTAAGGATTATAGATGCAAATGTATGCATATTACATAAGTATAGGGTGGTACACTGATTTCCCACTATTTATAATTACATCTCTCTCTTTTGCTTTCTTTCCTATGCCAGATCCTGGCAGGTGGATGGCCACGTCAGATTATCATCATTATTATTATATTAATTATTATTACATATATATATGAATGAAATAAAGCCTTATTACTAACATCACAAATTTCTAAAATTCTGGGTCCCAATAGGTAGCTAAAAATAAACAAAACAATAACATAAACTATGGGACACTTAGAGATAATATAACCTACCCATCAAATCCTTGGAGTTCACATTCTTTAAGCAGTGATAGAGCATGGCCTTCATATTCCGTTACTATTTAAAAAAAAAAAAAAAAAAAAGCACAAAAAGTAAAAGTTTTAAACAATGATCTACAGTTCTATACTTCTTAACTTAGTTTGGCAAAACAATATGATAAACATATGGTAAGTCATAAAACAACATTTATTATTGAATATTTATATTTTAATCATGAAAAGAGAAGTAAGTGTTAGCTGCCTGATGTGTTTTATAGCTTTATGTAAAAGACGGTTATATATTTGTTCCAACTACATCAGTCATTTGGGGCTATCCACCACATAGAGGTTGGAAAATTTATCTTGGTACCTGTTTGTTTTCTGTTCCCTAAATAAGACACACTTCTTTTACATCTGAAGCCTAGGAGCAGCAGTATTTTGAAAATAAGGCATATTAGCTGGCATCAAACAGTCACTTTGGCAACCTTAAATGAATAAATTAGTTGAAAGGTTAGTGTAAGATTTACATACTAGAAAAATGTGTATCTGGAATTGCTAGACTAAAAAGAGGAGGAGTTGGATGTGAAAATATGAAGTGAAGCCAACACCAGTGACAACAGATCCAAGCCCGAGGAGGAAGGTGGCACGCAGGCCACCAGAGCCCGGATCCTCGGAGGAAATGAATCTGTCACTCTGTATCGCTGTCTCCAGAATCACTGATGCCCTATGCAGTATTGTAAATGCCAATGAAGACAGGATAAACTGGCACACTGCAGATGGCACCAAGCATCGCAACCACATTTAGCATTTTCTAGGGCGTCTGTGCCAGAAGAGACAGCCCAGCTGTATCCACCCATCAAAGATTTCTGATGACTGACATGACATTGCAGATGGATTTTTTGTGTAAGAATGTGCATCACTATATGCGAGATTACATTAATCTTTCATGCCTGTCTGTTCCTGGTGCCAGCATGGTTCAAGTTTTTCCTACAATGTTTTTAGAAATCGTTAAAAATTATTAGTCTTGGTGTCTAAAAGAATCATTCTGTATCCAGCAGTGTTACACTGTAATTCTCCCACAGCATATTCAAATGCTGGTAACACTCACATGAATAAAACCTCTGTATGTTAAACTCTAATCAGAAGGAAGCTATAGTAAGATGAAATATAAAATATTAATATTAATAAAGTAGGAAGGCTAAGTGAACATAAAAGATTGTGGGCTGATCATTCACTTACAACCACAGCAAGTAGCTGCAATAGTTGCAACCTTAAAATGCAAAATAATGAATATCTTACATACACCCATTAAAAGTAATTAAAGGCATTATTAAAGAATATTCATGCTGAGACTCAGTTAATCAAGTCTTGCTTTTATACCAAAGTAAGCTTTGGTATGGCTTTTCAAATTCAATACAAAGTTAACTTAAAAACAATGTTATAACTGAATGCTATTTACATTTAGGAAAAATTTGCTGTAATGGTTTATTGTTTCCTTTAATCTTTTAGATAGAATTTGAATATACACTAATGCAAACTGTCCAAGAATAGTAATTTTTTTAGTAACATTGTAAAAGTTAAATAAAATCATTGATCCCAAAGAGAAAAGATGCAAGAAACCTGACCATCCACCTCTATAAAAACATATTAGTATAATGAACAAAATGAATAAAGCCCTAGGCTTCAGGGAGTTTATATTCTACAGAGAGATAGAAGATACACACTAATAAAAATATGAACATGTAATATAAGGTAGAATAAATGATTATAAGAATAATGTAGAGCAAAAGAATAATTATTTGGACTATATTTAGATACAGTAGAAGGAATCAAAGCATGTGTTTAAACAAGATAATACAGACTCTAAATCCAGAAAAATCCAGATCAGATTATCCCACTCCAAATAAACATAAACAGTGGGAAGTTAGGCAAATGCAGTTTCAAAAGAAGTAAACTAGCTTCTTCTCTCATCTACTTTCCTTTCCTAATGAGATTGTCTCCATAGCCTCTTCTATACAGGAAATTCGGAGTCATCATTATTTACGGGTCTTTGAACACACAGTTCCTACTGCTGGAACTCCACCTCTCACACTACCACAACTTTCAGTTTAAACAGTACTTCCTCAGGAGTAACAGATTAGAGGAGAGTAATGTCTTGAAGTTGATATTGAATGCTTATGAGGAAACAGACTGAAATAAAATTGGATGTGATTTGATTTGAACATAGAGACACTTATTGATCTCTGATAAAATTCTATAACGGGATAGGATACTCAGATGTTGTCATTTCCTTTCCTATCCTATAGGGTCTTCAAACTTAGTAAGCTCAGAACTGGATCCATCATGTGCATCTTCAAATATGTTGCTGTTGAAATAACTCATAGTGATCCCATGTGTTCCAGGATATAACTACTCCATATGGTTTTCAAGGTTGTAATCTTTATGGGAGCACATCACCAGTTCTTTTTCCTAAGGAGCCACTAGGTGGGTTCCAAATGCGAATCTTTCAGTTAGCAGACAAAAGGTTGCGTCACCAGAGCTCCTACCTTCAAATATAGACCCCCAAAACAAAACGAAACAAAATCCATTGCCATTGAGTCCATTCCAACTCATAGCAACCCTACAGGATAGGGGAGAACTGCCCCACAGGGTTTCCAAGGCTATATTCTTTATGGAAGCAGACTGCTACATCTTTCTCCTGAGGAGCGGCTCGTGGGTTCTAACTACCGCCCTTTCAGTTCATATTGCCTCTCAAATATATTGTTGTTGTTGTTTTTCCCATTATCCACTCTCTACTGCCCCAAAAAGGAAAATGAACTTTATCCTAATTATCCCTCTCCTTCACTGTCTATGTTCAACCCATAGCCAAGGCCAGTCATTTCTGTCTTTTAATTATGCTGCAGTATTCCTCCATTCCTCACAGCCAATGCCGTAGATCTGGTCACCACCATCTTTAGTGTGTGTATTAAAACAGCCATTTCACCAGCCTCCCTCCATCCACTCTCTCTCCAAACTCTGGCCAGGATGACTTTTCTTAAACAGATTTAATCATATCACTACCCTGCATAAAACTCTTTAATGACTCTCCATTGACCTCAGAGAGCCAGTTTTAACTCCCTAACTCATGTCTCAGTGTCAGAGACAGGACTGGCCTTATACATACACAATTATTTCGGGGGTAATAAGAACATTTTACCCAAAATTATCCCTACCTCTAGCTGGATATGATGCATGAAAATTTACTATTCAAATTTTTGTTAAGATGCAGGTAAAATTGGAAGGAGCAATGCCTCAGGCTACTACCATCTTTTCGACTCATTTTTATCAAATTGCTTAATTTTCTGCTGGGTGGGAACAGGAATGACAAGAAGAATTTCTAAGGAAGGACAAGCTTCAAGTAGAATCTAAAGAGCCAAAGGGAAACAATACAAAGAGACCTGGTAAAATTGTCAGAAGTTAGAAGCATGATTTTAGAAGGAGTAAAAAGAAGAAGCTGACAACAAACCACACTTGACAATTCTGCCCAGGGCCACACAGGAGGTAGGAATTATCTGGTTACTAAGAACTTCCCTGGACATTGAACTCTAGGCTGCATTCAGACAAGCATCTTTGACCATGATGATAAAGGTCTAGCAGCTTTGTTACTACAGGAGTAACTGAAGAACATGGGTGTGTGCCTGTAATGAACAGGAGGGGACCAAGGGGAGACAAATATCTGGTTTCAAATATCTTAATTACTCTTTTTTAATTATTATTACTTTGATAAATATATAGGTAATAAAACATTTGCCATTTCTAAAATCTTCACATGTATGTTCATCATGTTGTTCAACCATCACCATTAACTATTCTCCAATTTTTCCATTCCCCTTAACAGAAGCTCATTGTCCCCTAAGCATTGTGTTTCTTATATACAAGATAGACCACATTTCTTTGAATTTCTACAAAAAATATCATTAACTCTGTTGTTATTATTGTTAGGTGCTGTGGAGTTGGTTCCGACTCATAGCGACCCTATGTACAACAGAATGAAACACTGCCTGTTCCTATGCCATCCTCACAATCATTGCTATGTTTGAGCCCACTGTTGCAGCCACTGTGTTAATCCATCTTGCAGAAGGTCTTCTTTTTCACTAACTCTCTTGTTTACCGAGCATGATGTCCTTCTCCAGGGACTGAGAACATGTCCAAAGTATGCAAGATGAAGTCTCACCATTGATGCTGCCGAAGAGCACTCTGGCTGTCCTTCTCCAAGGCAGACTTGTTGTTTCTTCTGGCAGTCCATGGTATATTCAATATTCTTCTCCAGCACCATAATTCAAAGGCACCAATTCTTTTTCAGTCTTCCTTATTCACTGCCCAGCTTTTGCATGAATATGAGGCAATTGAAAATACCGTGGCTTAGGTCAGGTGCACTTTAGTCCTCAAAGTGACGTTTATGTTTTTTTTAACACTTTAAAGAGGTCTTTTGCAGCAGATTTGCCCAATGCAATACATCGCTTGATTTCCTGACTGCTGCTTCCATGGGCATTAATGGTGGATCCAAGAAAAATTAAATCCTTGACAACCTCAATGTTAACTCTAGTAGATTAAAAAGTACAAGGAGGCAAATATTAGCTCACAGGGCTCTGCAGATGGTTGTGCAGTTTGTTGCTAGAACAAAAGTACTTGGCCAAAGAGGCAGGTGAGTTTGCAATCCAGACAGTACTCCTGCTCAACATGCTAGGTGACCTTGAGCTGACTCAGCCCAGAAGAACTAGCACCTTGTCCTAAGTCATCACAGAGAAGGTGGAATTTTCTAATCTGTGCAAAGGCTCAGTGACCCTGAACTCAAAATAAGAATGGCTAACAGTATTGTCCAGTAACAACATACACTGCTTCTAGTGTAGGTGCACAAACCAAGCCTGCATGGTCACCCACAAGGACTACCACACACCTGCACTCCACCACACGGGTGGACGCTGAACTAGATGGTCTCTGACGTGCTTTGTAGTCTGACTTCTCTGTTGCCTTGGCTTTTTCACTTTATTGTTCTACATATAATCCTATGAATCTATAACCTCTCAAAATTCCTCTCACACATTTAATGGTGTAGTCCTTAAGTCTGCTTTATTTCAGGAGCAAAATAATGAAATGGTATCATATGCCAGCAAAGGTTTGCCACTCCTGCTCTTCTTTGCTTTGTCTACCAATAGGTTATTTGGAAAAATAACTCAGCTCTTTCTAGGTTCTTCCAGTTCTTTTGATACCATTATTAGATAAAATACTGCATTGGGGGTAGATAACAGAGGGGATTCAACCTGAGCTCAAACATTTCAAAAAATATTCATCTACATTAGGAAGTAGTTAGGGTTTCAGGACAGCTACAATGAAGGGAACAACTATATTTTTACTAATGTGGTGAGATCCATTTAAAAAAAAAGTCATAATGTTTATATCTTGTAATTTTTCAAGTCATTTTTTATATTTATATAGCACCATTTCCTAGTGAATTCGTCATTGTATAAAATTTATTATGTAATTCAAATTTCATTTGATTCACCAGTGTATGCAAGGGTGTGTTAAAGCAATGGTTACTGGACATTCAGAAGATAAGTATATTTTCTGCTTTCCTCTTTCATATAGTTTTTTCTTTCAAACAAAATGTGGGGTGAAACTTACTATGACTTAATTTTATGAAACTGAAATTAAAGGCATGAAGACCATATTTCTATATACCTATAATATACAATATACTTTCAAATATCTTATTAGAATCACAAAATCACACTGGTAGGAAAACCAATACTTTTCAAGTATTTACATATTTAGTCAGTCTTTTACACAAAATAGAAAATAATTTTTATAAATATTTAGGCAATATACAGACTAAAATAGTTTTAGAAGGATGCAATTTTATAATTTTGCCTGTAGGAGGAGTGTTAGGCAGCTAATAATTAGCCATTCTGCACAAATATAAAGTAAATCCTAAATGTGCCTTATGTAATATTTTAAGTTAAACTAAATGTAATATTCACTAATATTTATGAACTTAGAAAAATGAACTAATACGTAATATTTTCTCTACAAATACAACTGTTTTAAGAAGAAAGACACGTTCCTACCATTTTCTGCCTTAGTTCAATTTCATGCACCAGTTTCATTTCACCTCCATCCTCTCTCTCTTCCTTTCTAATCTTCATTCAGCTGGCAGAGTCATCTTTGCAAAACCAGATTATAAAAGTATGATAAAAAATTTACACCAGCTCTGGGTTAATGTACAGTAAATAAACTCCTGAGTGTAGTAGAAATAGCCATCCACAATCTGAACACAGATTTCCTTTAGTGTACATTGTTGGACCTACCTAGAAGCCATTTTTCCCTTTCTTCTGCCTAACAGAACCTAGTTTCAGTTCAAGTATCTGCAGCCTTCAGGAAAAGGGGGTCCCACCTTCAGCCCCTGGGAAAGGTCTTGTTGTTTAAGGAAGTGATTGCTCCAGGTGGGACACAGGTAGTATACTGGCACAGTCAAACTGAGAGGAAGACATTTTAATCCATGTTCAACATTAAAATATGTTGGTCTCTATGGTTGCACAACTCAAAGAATGTAATCAATGTCACTGAATTGTACATATAGAAATGGTTGAATTGGTGTACGTTTTGCTGTGCATATTCACAACAGCAACAAAATAAAATTAAAATTAAAAAAAAATGTTGGTCTCTCTCATATACTCATCTCTTTCCATTCAATATGAATAAAGACACATCCAATCCACTGGTAGCCATTTTATGATGATGAAAAGAAACAGAGGAAGGCACAGCAAAGTCATGGAAAGAACTCCCAAGATATTATTGGTGCAACACACACACACACACACACACACCAGTTGTGTGTGCTTACTGACCTGTCTTCCTTCCCTCACTTTCCTTCCTCTGTGTAGGCACAGAAAAGTTTTTTTTTTTTTGGCCTTCTCTGATTCTTAAAGACTGGCCCAACCTTCAATATCCAGCTCAAATGCTTTTTTCTGAGCTTGCTGATCAAAATTTTTATCACCTTCTGAAATATCATAGTTCTTTTATGTATATCCCAGTTATAATGTTCAGTCTAAAATATCTATTTGAATCCCTAGAAAACTGAAAGTCACTCAAGAGCAGGAAACATATCTTATTTACCTTTCATCCTGCATAGTGTTTAGCACAGAGCATTCAACAAGGGTTTCTTAAACTGAGTGACATACAGTAATATCGATACCAAACTGCTCTGTAGTATTTACATATTAATCAATGAAACAAAATAATTAATGTTATTGAGCTTGCCAATAAGTGTATTTGACTTTTAACTGTTTACATTACTGAGGTTGAACTATTCAACTATATACTACTATGTTGTTGTTAGATGCCATTGAGTCAGTTTCAACTCATGGTGATCCCACGTAGGGTTTTCAAGTCTGTGACCTTTCAGAAGAAAATCACCAAGCCTGTCTTCCAAGGTGCCTCTTAGTTGGTTCAAACCAACAACCTTTCAGCTAGTAGTCAAGCACTTAGCCCTCTGCACCACTCAGGGATCCTCTCAAGTACTATAACACATGCATATAAAAACTCCAAGTCACATCCTAACATGAATTTCAAACTTTTCCTTTAGCCAATCTTTGAAAATCTTCAGTAGAAAGGAATGCTATATCTGAATTTTCCCTTTCCTTGCAAATCACATCTAAGTCAGTCAAAAGTGACAAATATGAAAGGTTAAGTCCTTTACTACAACTTCATTTTAACTCAAAAATTCTTGAATTTTTCATGACAGTTTCTCTGGGACCTGTATAGCGGTTGTTTTTTGGGGCGGACATCCTTCCAACAAAGATTGCCTTTTTTGAGGAACTTCCCACATTACCTCAAGTCATGAGGTGTGGGCTTTAATGACTATTTACATTTCGAGATCCATCATCTTTAGTCAGAGCTGAGCAAAGCCAGGTCACTCTGAATCCCTTCCCCAGGAATTTAGAATTGGGACTAAGAGATTCTAGCGGGACTCTGAGCTTGTCTCCTGAGTAGGCTTCTTATGCAATACTCTTCACAATTTACTGCAAATTTACATTCTGTGTTAGGGAATTCGTGCAGAAATAAAGCCAGAAAAGGTGAAGGTGAGAATAATATCAATTCCTTCCACTCCACAGGAAAAAAATAAAAGTCTCAAGGAAACAAAGGAACCTTTGCTCACCAAATTAAAAAAATCAAAAAGTATTGTCTTAATCTTCTTTATATTAATTTTAGTTTTGGTAAGTTTCAATTTTCCTTGGCACAAACCTAAGCATTTTTCTTATTTTAGATAGTGAATATAAGCTTCTGGCTCCTTTAAATTTATCTAAAACCAGCAGTTAAGTGTTTGGTTTTGACCTAACCAGCAGGGGTCAGAGTCTGAACAAAAACAACCTAATGAAGGATACCATGGAAAGACGTCAAACACCTAAGTGAGCAAAATCAAGTGCCTGCCAAACTGCAGAAATGTGCAGATAACAAATAATCTAAACGAAGATACCAAAAAGCATACAGCTCCTTTTAAAATGATTCCTAATAATTTTTCAAATCTAAAAAGAAAATGTTAAGAGAAAATATTGGTATTCTAATAAAAATAATATAATAAAAGAGAAAACAAAATAATCGTAATTTTAGGGCTGGCTGCAGTAGGTTATGGAATCACATAAAAAGCCTTAGATATTACAAGTAACTTCCTAAGGTTGGATTAGGAACAATATTAAGTTATCTTGTTTCCTTAACTATGTTTTTTTTTTTTTTTAATGGTAAAATTATATTCTGAAAATGACTTACTTGTTACATCAGTTTTTATTCCTGCAAGCTTCAACAGAGGTTCGACCTTCTCATAATAGATCTGGGTAGCTTCTTTTTTGTGGCTTTGGGGGTTAAGGAATATTTTTAATGACTTTGGTCTGTTTGAAAAACCTAAGAGAAAGCATAAAGGCAGAAGTATAAGTCTCTATAAGCATCGTTTTCTTTCCTTTAAAAACCACACACTTAAGTCCAATTAGAATGTTATATACATATGTAAATAGTATTTGCTATTTTTATTTGAAATCTCTTGAAAGACTGTTCGTGAATATGACATTATTTTAAAACATTTATGTTTTCCTAATAGTGAAAAAGCCATGTTCCTCTTAAAATAAATCATGAGTTACAATAAAGCATTTATGAAGATGTAAATGAAAGCAGTTTTGTGCATATTAGGCAATATTTACATATATTTACCAAATCACACCTAATAAATCAAATATTCCTTTAGCATTTGTTTCTGGAAAAAAGCGATGGACTGTAACAAATAGAAAGGTCCATTTCCTCTCCTTAAAAAAGTACACTTATTATTGGAATCAGGCACTCAGTGATCCTGGGGCTCTGACATCTGACCTACTGGTGAGCCCGGGGTTCAGCAGAGTTGAGGGGGATGATTCAGTGACAACATGCAGAGCAATGCATGCTGGTAGCTAAAAACGAAGATTTAGAGCAGAGTTCAAGCCTGAAAGGGGGCCAGGGGAGAAAGAACGATTCTCCAGGGAGTTGGGAAAGGACCACCTCTCAGCGGGGATTCGATGATGATGATGCCTCACAGTTGGGGCTGAGATTTGATACTACAATTTTCTGGGCTTGCAAGATGCTTATCACTTAGAACCCAGTTGGAGCAGGTGCAAAATAAATTCTCTGTTGTTAGGAAGGGGCAGGAGGGACAGAGGAGCCAAAAGAAAGCTGACAACTGTTTCTTTTTTTGGTAAGCTGCTCGAAGAGGCCATGTTTCAAGGTTTAAAAAAAAGTTACTAACATCCATTTTTTAAAATAAAACTATTACTAAAGACAAATGAAAAATGTCCAATTCAACAAAGTCAGTTTTTGTGCAGCTTAGAGACAATATTTCACTTCTCATCATATCTGATGCAATAAAATCTTTCAACAGCACATATTATTTTGAATTCAGGGAAAGTTTCAGCTGAAGAGAGAGGGCCACCCTGACTTTCTTATATACTCTCCATAAAACTGTCAGGTTTTCTACCTTAGGAAAAGGCCTCTGTGAGCCTCCCAGTCACCCAGACTTGAAACCTCAATTCTATGCTCCATTCCTTCCTTTTATTCAACTCCTACATTCAAGTGAGTAAATCCTTGCTTCCATGCCTTCTGCTCTGGCTCTGGCTCAACATTCTCTGAGTAGCAGTCCAGAGCAAACAGTTAATGCACTTAGCTGTTAACCAAAATGTTGTAAGTTCGAGTCCATCCAGAGGCACCTTGGAAGAAAGGCCTGGCAATCTACTTCCAAAAAAAATCAGCCACTGAAAACCCTATGGAGCACAGTTCCACTCTGAAACACATGGGGTTGCCATGACTAGGAGTAGACTCAATGGCAACCTCTTTTTATAGCAGGATAACAAATAATATAGAAGAAATTATACAGTTAGAAAATCACTATTTTCAACCTTCAGAGTAATAATTGATTCAGCCAAGAATCAGTACTATATGCTAAAACCACTGGACAAAAATGGGTTGGGGGCAAAATAGTTACATATTCTGAAACTCTATCCCTACACATTGTTCTAATTACAAAGGGTAAAAAGGTACCTTCACGGTGGGGAAATCTGGCAGATACCATCTTAACCAAGTCATCAAAGTTAATAAAACTCTTTACAGTAGAAAATGACACATATGCCTTGCGATACTCCACACTGAGAAGGACACAACACCAAAAGTGCATAATGTGAACCTAACGTGGTGAAACACTCAGACACCCACGTTGAAGTGCATTCTAAAAAAAAAAAAAAAAAAACTTCCTTATAATCTTCAAAAATGTCAAGACCATGAAAGCTTTGCAAAGAAAGCCTAAGGAATTGTTCCACAGCAAAGGAAGCTAAAGAGATATGACAACTAAATGCAATATGCAATTCTGTTCAGGTGAAAAACTGCCATAAAGGACAGAATTATTATCATTTAGCTAGGAAGGACTAAGCAAATAAATCCAGGCTTACTTTTATTAAAATGTCACAGGGACAATAAACTAGCTATAAATCCCAGAGTCCAAGCATCAGATTAAATATCTAGATTATGTTTACCTTACCTGGGGTGTGGAACTTTACGGGAATGCCCTGTTTCATCTCTCAAGCAGGGGCAGTCCAGTAGGATGGTGTCTAGGCAACAAACAGTGGACCCCAAATGCTGTTATAAAAACCAACTTTTATTATCCCTCTTCTTATATCATGGCAGTAGGGGACTAGTAGAAGTTCATAGAAATGAGAAACACTCTAGGACTTGTGAGGATAAACACATTGTAGTTTAAGGCTTGTGGACTTTTACATATATACATATATATAAATAAGTATGCACAAAAGTGCATGCTATGCACCCCATCTAGTCTTTGGGACATAATCTTCTTGGTTAAAGAAGAAAGGGGGCTAAAATTATTTTTAAAAGATTTTCAAAAAAACATTTAAATGTAAGAATTTTGTTATTAAACTTCAGTTAACAACACCAACAATGAAAACTAAATAAATTAACCAGAACATCCTGTTCCTAGACATTCTGGTAAACTGAGGTCTTACTAAACACAAATCAACGAAGTAACCTTTTCACTGGAGTATGTCTTCATTTTCTTGTTTCTCTTATTTTTTTAAAGGTGTACTTAATGTGGTGATTATGAAGCTAGAGCCTAAGTATATACAAATTAGGTAGTAATTTGATACTATTTTTTTTTATCTCCATGTAGGCTTTTAAAATGAGATATATATTTATCATAATGATTATATATCCATCTATTCTGATTTTATTAAGAGTTGTTTGACATTCATGAGTAAGCCTTGATACACAGTTTTCCTTTTGGACTCGCATTGCCATATCTTAGTGTCAATATTATGCCAGCTCTATGAATAAAATTTGGAAACCTTTCCTCTTTTTTTAAGCTCTGGAATAGTATAAATAGTGAAGCTTCTTGTTCCTTAAAGATATGATAGCTATCCCTGAGAAAATATTAGGGTTTGGTGTGTTTTATTTTTTTTTTTTTTTGGAGTAGCAAAAATTGTTTCTCTATTTCCTTGATGGTAATTAGTCTGTTTAGATTTTCTATGTCTTCTGGGATCAGTTTGGCTATTTCTGTTTTCCTAGATAATGTACTCATTCATTTCAACCTGCTCCTAGGACGCAGCCCAGGTTGTCTCCTGGGTTCTAAACCTAGTCCTCCTACTAAGTAGTTGTAGCAACACTATTTCCTCCTGCTAAACAGAATCAATCACCTTAGCCGGCATAAGAACCAACTTTGTTGGTTCAGTTATATGGTTCTATAGTGTGACCAGGTAATTATCAATGTCCAGTTCAATCAAATCGTTGTTATGTTCCAATATAAAAGTATTCTTCCCTCATACCAAAATCTTTAGATCAGCAGAGTTCAAAGCTGCAGAGGAGGAAGCAAAAATATTGTGGGTAGGTCACTGGATGTGAAGGTCAGAGATGACACTTCTATTTCCAGTCCTTAATTCTTGTTGTTGTTGTGTGCCGTCAAGTTGATTCCAACTTATAGCGACCCTGTAGGATTGAGCAGAACTTCCTCCATAGGGTTTTCTAGGCTGTAAACCTTTACAGGAGCAGATCACCAGGTCTTTCCTCCCGTGGAGATGCTGGTGGGTTCGAACAGCCGACATTTTACTTAGCAGCCAAACACTTAACGATTGTGCCACCAGGGTTCCTTCCTTGATTCATAGACCCATGTATTCTGTTTATGGAACTAAAAACTAGTATCACACGGGTGTTGTTTCCCAGCTAGAATACAATCTAGTACAACAGGAAACAACATGGTAAGACTAATGAATCTCATAGGTGTCAGCTAATTGCCTGACTTCTCCTTGGTCAAAACAATATTGCAGCATGGTATGTAAATTCATTGAACAAGAAAGGCATTTAGTAAGGCCACAGATGGTAGTCTTGGCAGAAACATGGTGGACAGAGAATGAAAATCCATATCTAGAGTAAGTGTTCATAGCAATGACCTTCTATGATGGAGGAGATCCAATGTAATCAACTTGCCACCAGGTGGTTGGCCAGTTGCTCTGGAATATGACGCCATATCCCAGGCTCAAGACTGATCTGTTTGCAGACAGAGCACTCAGCAATGGCTACAGTCAAATCATCTTTGGTGAGAAGTGTTTATTGTTAAAGCCATAAATTTCTCCCATCCTCTTAAGAAGACCACTTGGTTTATGCATCCACTGTGTAAGCTTTGGGGTTGCTTTGAAAAGATGGTGACTGACAGCTATAATAATGGGGCATCAGCCTATTTGATGATCTTCTCCTCTGGAATGAATTCTCTTTGGTGAACACTTACATAAAACACAAATATTCTCATATTCTGTTCTCATGCTACGAAGTTTGTTTATATACTTCCATCTCCTACATCCTTGTCACCATTTTAGTTTCCTGGTGCTGCCGTAACATTACCACAAACTGGGTGGCTTTAAACAACAGAAACTTATTTCTCATAGCTCTGGAGGCTAGAAGTCCAAAATCAAGGTGTTGCCAGGGCCATGATCCCTCTGACGGGTCTAAGGAAGAATCCTTCTTTGCCTCTTCATAGCTTCTGGTGGTTGCCAGCAATCCTTGGAATTCCTGGACTTGCAGCTGCATCACTCCAATCTCTGCCTCCACCTTCACATGGCTGTCTTCCTTCTGTGTCTGTGTCTCTGTTTCTGAATTTCTCTTTCCTTGTAAGGACACCAGTTGTTGGATTTGGGGCATACTCTAATCCAGCATGACCTCGCTTTAACTTGATTACATATACAAAGACCCTATTTCCAAATAAGGTCACACTCACAGGTGCCAGGGGTTAGGACTTGAACGTATCTTTCTGGGGGACACAATTCAACACATAACACCAACCTCCCAATCTTTTTTGTCTAAGTTCCTGACTATTTGGCTAAGCTTTT